CTTAAAACCAGATTGACAAAGGCTGATGGAGCAAAAGCTTCCGCCAGCATCTCAGAAATAAATAAAATGGTGTGGGGGTCAAGAACATTGTCAGTGCTGAGGTTTCTTAAGTTTATATCCTAGACTAAATGATTTTACAATGGGAGGGAGGCATTCTTTATCTCAAAGTGGGCAAAGTGCAGTCTGTGGGTCCTTTGAACCCCTAAATGCAGCATGCAAGACCCCCCAGAAGTCTCTTAAAGTATTATTATTATTATTATTATTATTATTAGCTATAGAATCATAGAATCATAGAGTTGGAAGAGACCTCATGGGCCATCCAGTCCAACCCCCTGCCAAGAAGCAGGAAAATTGCATTCAAAGCACCCCCGACAGATGGTCATCCAGCCTCTGTTTAAAAGCTTCCAAAGAAGGAGCCTCTACCACACTCCAGGCAGAGAGTTCCACTGCTGAACAGCTCTCACAGTCAGGAAGTTCTTCCTAATGGTTTTACAATGGGTGGGAGACATTCTTTATCTCAAGGTAGGCAAAGTGCAGTCTGTGGGTCCTTTGAACCCCTAAATGCAGCATGCAAGACTCCCCAGAAGTCTCTTAAAGTATTATTATTATTATTATTATTATTATTATTATTATTATTATTAGCTATAGAATCATAGAATCACAGAGTTGGAAGGGACCTCATGAGTAGGCCCGTGGTCAGGATTTCGATTCGAGGGGGGGGGCTGAGGCTAATTTTTTTCAGGGGGGGTGGGGGGGTGAGTTTGTTTCGGGGGGGCTGAGTCTGAGTGAAAGAGGGTCTATCCTAGCAAACCTTTTGTATCATTACCCCAATACCCCCATGCATATGGGATATATTGAGTATGGTGATCAGATCATGATATGAATAAACATAACAGTTTAAATAATGCACCAGTAAGGCCTTTTCGCGAACCACCATGAGAATTTGGTGGAGAATTTGGTGAGCCCCCCAAGCCCCCCCCCCCCCCGGCTACATGCCTGCTCATGAGCCATCTAGTCCAGCCCCCTGCTAAGAAGCAGGAAAATTGCATTCAAAGCACCCCCGACAGATGGCCATCCAGCCTCTGTTTAAAAGCCTCCAAAGAAGGAGCCTCTACCACACTCCGGGGCAGAGAATTCCTCTGCTGAACAGCTCTCACAATCAGGAAGTTCTTCCTAATGTTCAGATTGAATCTCCTTTCTTGTAGTTTGAAGGCATTGTTCCATGTCCTAGTCTCCAGGGCAGCAGAAAACAAGTTTGCTCCCTCCTCCCTATGACTTCCTCTCACATATTTATACATGGCTATCATGTCTCCATTTTATTTCTATTCCATTTTTCTCTACATAGGGAGTCAAGGAAACTACCAAAATATCCCCATCAGACTGAGTCTGGGGTGGGGTTTTTCTTTACCCCCAAACCGCCTAACATCTCCCAAACAGGGAAGTTGAATTCCCTGAATTTTCCCATCTCCCCAAACAAACAAAAAGAGAAAAATAATCTAAAGCAGGAGTGGACAACTGAAAAGTTGTCTTCCTGTGCCCACCTGATAGGTCATCGTATCTTGTTTCAGTGTATCCAAAGAGATTAATTATTTACTTAATTCAAAAGCATAATAAGCCAGCCACCCGTTTGTGTTTGGGTCCTACCTGCTTGTTTTCCTGAGAAGGTTCTTGGACTTCTGCTCTGATGGCAGAAGTCATCTGAGCACATAATCATCTGTTTCCTTCTGTATGTCCACAAAAGCTGGGTGTGCCAAGGAAGTCACTCATGTCCTCCACCCGACATGTGGGACAGCAGCACTTACTATCCATCCACATAATCACCTCCACCTACTTGAATACAACATGTGATGCTCTCTCTTTCCATAGGTATGGCAACACAGTGAAACGTTGTGCCTTGCAAACCTCTCCCAATGCTTCTTATCCTTTTTTTTTTTTTTGTAACCCTCAGTACTGTGTTCCATCCATTCTTGGCTGTTCTTTATATTTAAGTTGGACAGATGAATACATTAAAGTCACTGAGGTGTAGTTCTTAACTGATTGAGATTTGGGGTGAAGAATAATAATAATAACTTTGTCGAAGGCTTTGTCGAAGACCTCACAACCTCTGAGGATGTTTGCCATAGATGCAGGCAAAATGTCAGGAGAAAATGCTTCTAGAACATGGTCATATAGCCCAAAAAAACCTACAACAACCCAATAATAACTTTATTTTTCTACCCCACCTCCATCTCCCCGAGGGGACTCGGGGCGGCTTACATGGGGCCAAGCCCAAGGCAACATACAATTAAAAACAGAACAATAACTTATTAAAATAGCATGAAAACAGTATAAATAATAATAAACCAGCATTAAAAGCAACAGCAGACTCATTTTTGGAGGGGGGTCAGTATGCAAAGCTAGTTAAAGGATAGGGTGGTCAAAAGGTGGATAGAAACGTATAGTAGCATAGACATAATGGCATAGAAATAGAGCAATTAAACAGGATCAATTCAGCTTAACTTAAAAATGTGGTGATGGAATATAGAGGTGCATCTACACTATAGAACTAATGCAGTTTGCCATCACTTTAACTACCATGGCTCAGTGCTATGGAATCCCAGGAATTGTAGTTTAGGGAGGCACCAGCAATTTTTGGAAGAGAAAACTAAAAAAATTATAAAACCTCAACTCCAAGGATGCCATAGTATTGAGCCATTGCAGTTACATTAGTGCCAAAATGCATTAATTCTACAGTGTAGACGGAGCCTTGGAAAATCTGTGCTCTAATCCTACACAACATTAGATGACACTGGGCACTTTCTCTGCTTTGTTGGGAAGAAGGCAGTTACACCACCTTGAGTCCATTGGAAGAAAAGCAGGAGGTAACTACTACTAATAAAATAAAAATAAACCCTAGTGACAAAATACTTTGTTGGAGTTTTGAAGCTAAAATGACTCACGGTCCACAGACTCTAAATTTAGTCACTGGCTGTGACACGCAGAAAGAAGGTGTGCGTGTGTGTCCTCAACAGCATCCAGCCTTCGCTTCACCCTGGCGACGCATTAGACTTTCCTATGCTCGTTCCCAGTTACAACTAGAAATTGAGAAGGAAAGAAGGAAACACTGGCACTTTGAGCCGTAGTTTTACGGAGTTGGGCGAAATGAGCACAGCGTCCTCCCATGAACATTTCCTTCTGGAATTGTGGGAGTTGGTCCAAAACACCAGGAGGGCCAAAGTTTGACCATGCCTGATCTACAATGTAGAATGAATGCAATTTGATACACTTTAACTGCCATGGCTCAATGCTACAGAGTCTTAGAATGTGTAATTTGGTGAGATGCCACTACTCTCTGGCAAAGAAAGCAAAAGACCTTATTGCTTTCCATGATTTCATAGCACTGAGCCATGGCAGTAAAAGTGATGTCAAACTGCAGTCATTCTACAGTGTAGATACACTTACAATTTCCCAATTTCTCCCTGCTACTCCCTCATCTTAACAGCTATTCTCCGTCCATGCACACTTGCTAAGGAACAGCGACAATGCATGTTCCCTTTGCTACATCTCCTTTTTTGGAGGTTTTGAAGCAGAGGCTGAGTAGCTATCTGCTGGGAGTGCTTTGATTGTGTATTCCTGCAATGGCAGGAGGTTGGACTGGATGACCCTGGAGGTCTCTTCCAATTCTATGATTCTATCCTTCCCAGACAACTCAGTTGCTGGACCACTCCTTGTTTGGTTAGGTTTACATTATGCATCTCTTATCCTTATTTTATGATCCACAAATACTTTAAAATCAATCCTTTATCCTCAAATAAACTCTTGTGCCAGCAGGACTGCTGACCTAAATGTCGGCGGTTCAAATCCGGGTAGCCGGGTGAGCTCCATCTGTCGTTTCCAGCTTCTCATGTGGGGACATGAGAGAAGCCTCCTACAGGATAAAACATCTGGGTATCCCCTGGGCAACAGTCTTGCAGATGGCCAATTATCTCACATCAGAAGCAACTTACAGTTTCTCCAGTTACACTTGACATGAAAAAAAATCCTCAAATACTCCAAACTATCCATATGGGTGGCTGAGACAGTGATGCCTTTGCTTACTGATGCTTCCATGCACACAAACTTTCTTTCATGCAAGGGTCTGGAGAACAAGCCCTATGAGGAGCGGCTTAAAGAGCTGGGCATGTTTAGCCTGAAGAAGAGAAGGCTGAGAGGAGACATGATAGCCATGTATAAATATGTGAGAGGGGAAGTCATAGGGAGGAGGGAGCAAGCTTGCTTTCTGCTGCTCTGTAGACTAGGACATGGAACAATGGTTTCAAACTACAAGAAAGGAGATTCCATCTGAACATTAGGAAGAACTTAATGTTTTGGAAGAACTTCCAAAACATTAGGAAGAACTTCCTAACTGCGAGAGCTGTTCAGCAGTGGAACTCTCTGCCCCAGAGTGTGGCGGAGGCTTTTAAACAGAAGGTGGATGGTCATCTGTCAGGAGTGCTTTGAATAACAATTTTCCTGCTTCTTGGCAGGAGGTTGGACTGGATGGTCCATGAGTTCTCTTCCAACTCTATGATTCTATATATATTATGTATTCCGGTTATTTACTAATCCCTTATCTCAGAATCTGAAATACTCCAAAATCCAAAACTGTCCACATCAATGGCTGAGAGAGTAGTATCTTAGCCTAGTTCAATGGACACCAACTTTGTTTCATGCACATTATTTAAAAATATAACATTTCCTTTAGGTTATGTGCATTAGGGATGTATGACACACAAATGAATATTGTTTCGACTTGGATCCCATCTCCCAAGAGATCTCATTAGGGATATCTATGCAAATCTAAGCAAATGCAAATAGGTCTTTCATATAATCCAGAATGTGAAACCCCAAACATTTCTGATCCTAAGCCTTTTAGATAAGGGAGCCTGTACTGCCCAGCAAACCCAACCTTCTCCCTTCCCATGGCTTAAAGCACCATCTGACCCTCTCCCCCAAGCTCCCCTTCCATGATCCTCACTTACCTTGCAATAGAAAAAGGAAGAAAATGTCTCTCTCCAATGTGGATTAACTGGAAAAGCCTGGCCTTGGGCAATCGGGGGAAGGGGGGTCTCTTTCTCTGCTCTGAAAGACCCCCGCTGCTCAGACTTCTCTTCCCAAGAGCTGACAACACAGCAAGGAGCTTTCATAGCACCGCCCCCTTCGCACACGTCATCACTATCAGACAGTGGAGCATGCTGGGACATGTAGTTCTCTAAGGGAGAGGCTGGGACTCTGGCGTTGATCACATTCTTTCTTTGGAAGTGTTAAGACAGGCTGCAGGTGAATTGGATTTCTCTTTAAGGGCAGAATTGAATAATAATAGTGAGGATCATTTATAATATTTTGCATGTGATTATGATGATATATGATGATATATTTGCATAAATCTCTATTCTATTCTATTCCCAGCTGAACTGTTTAAAATCTTAAAAGATGATGCTGTCAAGGTGATGCATGCCATATGCCAGCAAATATGGAAAACACAAGAATGGCCATCAGACTGGAAAAAATCAACTTATATCCCCATACCAAAAAAGGGAAATGCGAAAGACTGCTCAAACTTCCGGACAGTGGCCCTTATTTCTCATGCCAGTAAGGTAATGCTCAAGATCCTGCAAGGAAGACTCCAGCAATACATGGAGCGAGAGTTGCCAGATGTTCAAGCTGGGTTTAGAAAAGGCAGAGGAACGAGAGACCAAATTGCCAATATCCGCTGGATAATGGAGAAAGGCAGGGAGTTTCAGAAAAACATCTACTGCTGTTTCATTGACTATTCTAAAGCCTTTGACTGTGTGGATCATAATGGCAAGTTCTTGGTGGTATGGGCATACCAAGCCACCTTATCTCTCTCCTGAGGAATCTGTACAAGGACCAAGTAGCAACAGTAAGAACTGACCACGGAACAACAGACTGGTTCAAGATTGGGAAAGGCGTACGGCAAGGCTGCATACTCTCACCCAACCTTTTTAACGTGTATGCAGAACACATCATGCGATGTGCGGGGCTTGATGAATGCAAAGCTGGGGTGAAAATTGCTGGAAGAAACATTAACAACCTCAGATATGCAGATGACACCACTCTGATGGCCAAAAGCGAGGAGGATCTGAGGAGCCTTCTAATCAAGGTGAAAGAAGAAAGCGCAAAAGCCGGGTTGCAGCTAAACATCAAAAAAACCAAGATTATGGCAACAAGAATGATTGACAACTGGAAAATAGAGAAAATGTGGAGGCCGTGACAGACTTTGTATTTCTAGGTGCAAAGATTACTGCAGATGCAGACTGTGGCCAGGAAATCAGAAGACGCTTACTTCTTGGGAGGAGAGCAATGTCCAATCTCGATAAAATAGTAAAGAGTAGAGACATCAGACTGGCAACAAAGATCCGCCTAGTCAAAGCCATGGTATTCCCTGTAGTAACGTACGGATGTGAGAGCTGGACCTTAGGGAAGGCTGAGCGAAGGAAGATCGATGCTTTTGAGCTGTGGTGTTGGAGGAAAGTTCTGAGAGTGCCTTGGACTGCGAGAAGATCCAACCAGTCCATCCTCCAGGAAATAAAGCCCGACTGCTCATTGGAGGGAAGGATACTAGAGACAAAGTTGAAGTACTTTGGCCACATCAAGAGGAGACAGCAAAGCCTAGAGAAGACAATTATGCTGGGGAAAGTGGAAGGCAAAAGGAAGAGGGGCCGACCAAGGGCAAGATGGATGGATGGCATCCTTGAAGTGACTGGACTGACCTTGAAGGAGCTGGGGGTGGTGACGGCCGACAGGGAGCTCTGGCGTGGGCTGGTCCATGAGGTCACGAAGAGTCGGAGACGACTGAACAAATGAACAACAACACAAGGATTTGTAACTGGACTTAGCCTACAATTAAGAAACTCAAATATGGATATACACAGATATAGACAAAAGAGAGACAACACGGGCAGAATTAGAAGGAAGTCCCTTTTTCCTTTTTTTTTTTTTAAAGGTCTTTGGGTTCTTAGGTTTTTTTCAGGGTTTTTTTTTTCTGGACTCGGTTTTTGTTATATCATTTTTCATTTCACTTCTTTTTTACAGTTTCCTACTTTTCTATCCTTTAAAAAAATTCCCCCACTTTCCTTGTAACTTCATATTCTTTCAATAAAATGTGTTTTTTTAAGTTCCATTCTGACCTTTTTAACACTTATATCCAACTTTTCCTGCAAAAACCTTTATTCTGACATTCGTTACACTTATATCCAACACTAGCTGTCCCCTGCCACGCATTGCTGTGGCCCAGTGTAGTGATCTGGAAAATAAAGTAATGAGAAAGTGTTGGTTTCTAATATATGTAATTTCTTTATGCTTGTGGGTAAACAGTATTTCTTGCTGTTTCTTTGTCAGTGTGGATGTGGAGATTGTCTGGTTTGCCTCCTTTGGAACATATAATTGTCCTTCTCTAGGGGTTCCAGGGCCAGAGAAGCAGATGGCGGAAACAGAAGAACGGCCTGCCTCAGGGGAGCGTGCTTGCTCCATCCATGTTCAACATCTACACAAATGACCATCCACTGCCAGAAGGGACAGAGAGTTTCATCTATGCTGATGATCGTGCCATTACTTCTCAAGCAGGGAGCTTTGAGATGGTTGAACAGAAGCTTCCCAAAGCTCTAGGTGCCCTTACCGCCTACTACAGGGAAAACCAGCTGATCCCTAATCCAGCTAAAACACGGACATGTGCCTTTCACCTTAAGAACAGACAAGCATCCTGAGCTCTGAGGAATACCTGGGAAGGAATCCCACTGGAGCATTGCAGCACACCCAAATACCTGGGAATCACTCTGGACGTTGCTCTGACCTACAAGAAGCACTGCCTGAATATCAAGCAAAAAGTAGGTGCTAGAAACAATATCATACGATAGCTGACTGGCACAACCTGGGGATCACAACTAGACACAGTGAAGACATCTGCCCTTGTGCTATGCTACTCTGCTGCTGAGTATGCATGCCCAGTGTGGAACACATCTTACCACACTAAAACAGTAAATGTGGCTCTTAATGAGACATGCCGCATTATCATGGGGTGTCTGCGCCCTACACCACTGGAGAAATTACACTGTCTAGCCAGTCATTGCAGCACACCCAGATACCTGAGAATCACTCTGGACCGTGCTCTGACCTACAAGAAGCACTGCCTGAATATCAAGCAAAAAGTAGGTGCTAGAAACAATATCATACTGTCTAGCCAGTATTGCACCACCTGACATCCACCGGGAAGTAGCAGCCAATAGTGAAAGGACCAAGGCAGAGACATCTCCAGCTCATCCCTTGTTTGGGTATCAGCCAGCACGTCAACGACTTAAATCAAGAAATAGTTTTCTAAGATCTACAGAGACACTCGCTGGAACACCTCAGCAAGCGAGAGTCCAAAAGTGGCAGGCTTAAACCCAGCACCTCAACCAATGTCTGATACCAAATGAGAAACTCCCCGCTGGGCACACAGAAAACTGGGCGACTTGGAAGGCGCTGAACAGACTGCGCTCTGGCACCATGAGATGCAGAGCCAACCTTAAGAAATGGGGCTACAAAGTGGAATCCACGACATGCGAGTGTGGAGAAGAGCAAACTACAGACCACCTGCTGCAATGCAGCCTGAGCCCTGCCACATGCACAATGGAGGACCTTCTTGCAGCAACACCAGAGGCACTCCAAGTGGCCAGATACGGGTCAAAGGACATTTAATCAACTACCAAGCTTGCAAATTTTGTTTTGTGTCTGTTTGTTTGTTTTGTTCTGTTAGAAATGTAATACAATTGTCTGGTTGCCCCTGTAATACAATTGTCTGGTTGCCCCTTTATCCTGACATGATAAATAAAATATAGGGACCCTTTCAAATCTATGATACTATATCTCTCTCTGTGTGAGAATCATATATATCTATCTATATCTATGACTGGATGGCTCTTTGTCAGGAGGGCTTTGATTACGTTTTCTTGCCCTGGTGAAGGGAGTTGGACTGTATGGAGGTTCCATGTGGGAAGTTTGCCCCCATTCTGTCGTTGGTGGGGTTCAGCATGCTCTTTGATTGTAGGTGAACTATAAATCCCAGTAACTACAACTCCCAAATGTCAAGGTCTATTTTCCCCAAACTCCATCTGTGTTCATATTTGGGCACATGGAATATTCCTGCCAAGTTTGGTCCAGATCCATCATTGTTTCAGTCCACAGTGGTCTCTGTATGTAGGTGAACTACAGCCTCCAAACTCAAGATCAATGCCCACCAAACCCTTCTAGTGTTTTCTGTTGGTGGTGGGAGTCCTGTGTGCCACGTTTGGTTCAATTCCATCATTGGTGGAGTTCAGAATGCTCTTTTATTGCAAGTAAACTATAAATCCCAGCAACTACAACTCCCAAATGACAAAATCATTTTTTTGAGTGATGGTCACTCCTTGAGATAGTAGGTGTCTTGTGGCCAAATTTAATGGCAATTTGTCCAGTGGTTTTTGAATTATGTTAATCCCATAAATGAACATTACATTTTTATTTATATAGATTTCCTGTATTAAGTTCCATTCTGACCTTTGTAACACTTACATCCAACTTTTCCTGCAAAAACCTCTATTCTGACATTTGTAATACTTATATCCAACATTTCCTGCATCAAGTTCCATTCTGACCTTTGTAACATTTATATCCAACTTTTCCTACAAAAACCTCTTTTCTGACATTTGTTACACTTATATCCAACGTTTCCTACAAAAACCTCTATTCTGACATTTGTTACACTTATATCCAATGTTTCCTGCATCAAGTTCCATTCTGATATTGGTTACATTTATATCCAACTTTTCCTGCATCATGCATTCTGACATTTGTTACATTTATGTCTGATCAACCTCACGTTGATACCTGGCAAGATTCTGGAAAAGATCATTGGTCTGCAAATACTTAGAATAATAGAATCAAAGAGTTGGAAGAGACCTCATGGGCCATCCAGTCCATCCCCCTGCCAAGAAGCAGGAATATTGCATTCAAATCACCCCTGACAGATGGCCATCCAGCCTCTGTTTAAAAGCTTCCAAAGAAGGAGCCTCCACCACACTCCGGGGCAGAGAGTTCCACTGCTGAACGGCTCTCACAGTCAGGAAGTTCTTCCTCATGTTCAGATGGAATCTCCTTTCTTGTAGTTTGAAGCCATTGTTCCACGT